ACGTACAAATCTCATTAATAAATAAATCAGAACTGTATACTCACGTCTAGATGTTGGCCGTTTATTGTTAGGTTCAGTATTTAAACTCATTGCACGCCCTAATTCACCACGTACAGCCTTGAGTGACTTAAGAATTTCATCGGGGTCACGTCTAGCAGCCGATGAACGTCGCCTACCCGCTAAATATGTTGTAGGTGGTGGTACCATAACATCTTCTTCACGTATTTTTTCAGGATCTTGAAATGATGAACGACGAGAACCAGGTAAAGAACGTGAAAAATCTTTACCCAACTGATATACCTCAACTTCAAGTGTTTCAGATTGCGAGGAACCACGTCGAGAACCAGCAATCCAAGCATGATCGGGATGTAATAAAGATGTGCCATCTCCAATTGAATCTACTTCATCTGATATGGAACGTTGCATATTATAGTCACGTCGCAGTAAACGTGATACATCACCACCAGGACAGCCAGTAGCAAGTGAACCGCGAGGTGAAACGCTTGGTGATTTGGATATACTAATACCACGCAAACCTTTAGGATCTTCAAGACGACACCAAATTGCATGATCGTCAAGAAAAGCTTGTTGTAGTTCAATATTGCATTCGCCTAGAAAAATAGATTCTGTATGTGGCACTAAGTCCCAGAGTTGTATATCAATATAGCGATCCATTAAGCTATCCGCATTCACATGCGCAAATGTGAGAGTTGCATTCCAAATTGGATTCTGTGTCGGTCGACTTACTTCTGTTTGTTGTACGGAACCATCGCCGCTATTATTATATATATATTTTTTTTTATTTAATAAAAAAATATTGGTTTATAAACTATTGAGTATTAAATATTGTTTCTGCTTACCATTTGGGTAATATGCGTACTTTAGCATATGCTTCCGGTAAATTGCCGTGACCGTAGGCTTCGTCGCGTAAAGCTAAATCATCTGCTGCCATTAGTGATACGACCAATTCATTACGTTCTGCGTGGTACCAAACTTGTATCTGGACACGTCCACTGACTTGCTTCTCTCGCATTATTTGTTCCTATTATTTATATTTTTTGTTTTTGTTATTATAAAAGAAAAAATTTATTAGTAAATATTTGGGATTTTTATGGAATCAAGTTAAAAAATGTACAGTTTATATTTAATTAAATATATACAATATTTTTTTTAGTTGAAGTTCTATACAATTTTTCTCTCGCATTTTTGTACATAATTTTACACTTATTTATATTGGTTAGCACTTGTAACGAATGCTTTGGTTATATATTATATAAATTTGTATATATATATATAGTTGTGGTTTGAGGTAGAAGTTTAGAAAAGTGGTTGTAATTTTTGTTCTGTAAAATAAACCAAAAAATTAAGTTTGCAAAACATAAAAAATATGAAAAGTATTAGGTGTTTTGTTTACAAACCCATAATTTAATAAAAATAATTAATAAAAAATTATATTAAAGCATAAAAGGCAAATTAATTAAAAAAAATAACAATTACTTATACATAGAATTAATAGATTCATGCTCTATGGTTACACATTAATTATGTATACTGTTAGCAATATTATAGTTAAAAAATAATTATCTATATATATATAATTATCTATATAAATACAATATTAATGGAAAGACTTTTTGAACCTCAAATTAATTTATAATAATAATAATAGATTGCCCAAAAATTATTTTTAATAAATAATACAACAAGCCCTATGCTCCTCCTAGGCGTTAAAGGATTAAGTATATATACAACAAGCAAACGAAGCTTAGTGTCTGGGTATTCACCATAACAGAAGGTTGATATTGAGTAGACACGTAAAAAGCAAGAGATATGAAAACTGAAATGAAGTAATTCATGAAAACGAAGTAATTAAAAATAATTTTTTTAATCGGCCGACTTTGAATCTTATTGAAAATGAAGAGATACGGGTCTAACGCATTTAATTTTAACAATAAAGTATCCTTAAAAATTGAGAATCAGCATATGAAATAATAAAAACTATATCTTAGTTAATGAAGGCCATTTCATATAATGAAAATTTTCTGCCCCAAACGAAAACACAGATAAAATGCAGTAAATATTTTTGAAGGATCCTCTAATAATCAGAAAAGTTCTTAAAACAGAAGTTACTTTGCTTGATCTCATATAAAAGTAATTGCAGACCATTTTGGATCACAAAAATTTGCTGTCTCTAACGAAAACATGGAAAGAATGCATCAAATAATATGGGATATTAACAAATAATTGAAGAACTGGTTGAAGCTGCACGCACTTGCTAGATTGCATTTGAAAAACAATATCTCAAGATTTAAATATAAAAACAATTTTTCTAACAAATGCTTAGAAAAATCTTTCGGTTTGATGAATGTTAAATGAAGATATTGAACTCCCAGGATTTCTAAATAAAAATATAAATATGTTATGTGCAAAAACTCCACGGAATGTATAATTTAAAGAATTAACGTATATGAATTTCTGTAAAAATTTATTTTTTTCCGATGCTACCTAGTGCGTTTAGATTAATTAATTTTGAGATTATACTTTTAAACGTTCTGTGATGGCATAAATTTCATTATCACCCTTTATAAGAGTCGTCTTCGTGATTCTGACCACACAATCTACAACTAAACTACCCCACGTATTTGGCAATAGCCTCACTTCCTCCACCTACATTCATTCTTTCTGTACTACTTCTATGTTTTCTGGCTTAGATAAACCTTTAGTAAACTTCTATATACCAAGCCTTTTTATATCAACTCTCTCTCTCTCTTAAATACTGAAGAAAAGTTTCATATTCTGCTCTCTGGGTCAGTACGGAATCTCTCCATTTATTCTTAAGAAATTGTTGATGCTTTCTGCCTAGTGCCAAAAAAAAATGTTTTTAATAAAACACTCTTCGAGTGTGAACGCACAAGTACTGTACTGATATATGGTTATAATCTGATATGGTTATAAAACTACAACTTTGAGAACGGCGGGGTGACTCAATTGTGGTCATGAAAAATCATACCATACACTGTAGGAGTTAAAGGATATGCTCCAATCAGCTTACAAGAAAACTATAAAGAAATGGCTCAACCGTTGACAGAGTTATATAGCAATCGATGGAGATTATTTTGATGGCAACAAAATAAATATTGGTTGGTTTTGGTGTTTATTATGTATATTTTACACAAAAACTATTTTCAACTAAAAACAATTACTAGTTATATTCGATTAAATATACAATAGTGTTTTTTTGTGGAAAATTTGATCTAACATATATTCTTATCAAAAAAAAAATTGTTTCTTAGAAATTTAAAATTTTAAAATTTACAATCATTTTCGTGTATATTACTGAGATTACAAATTGTGTTTTAAACCAACAGATATCGTATCAATTTAATAAATCTCAGTACACAATAGCAAAATTGCTGAAACTATCGATGTATCCATTACAGTGCGATATTATCGAAAGTTTTCACAACCCAACGAAGCGTAGGACGCTTGCTTTATAACAACTCAATAACTCGATATGAACTCATAGTTTACATATTCCATATTCCATATTCCGGAACTCGTGTTCCCCATTACACCCAGTGTATGTGTATTCTATATAGTTTGTGTGTTTATTTCTGTGCCATATTGCAATTATTGTGTTTTATTCAAGTTATTGTGGTTTAAGTTTCAGCAATTTTGTTTGTATGCGTATTAGTTTTAGTTTTCCGGCTGAAATTTTTTTATGAAATTTTCATTGAGTAGCGAAAATACTTGCTTTGTTAGAAAACCTCATGGGACGCACAGAAGCAAGGCGGATTATGGCGAACAGTTTTCACTGATGTGTGCAGTTTATTTTTTATTAAAAATACTAAAATTTTCGGTTAATACGAAAATCGATAAAAAAAATATTGAGATTTTATAAACTAAATAAAGCAACATATAGTGGAAAGGTTTGAGGTGTGTTGGATTTTAGATTTTTGGCAATTTATTGCTTTCATTGGTTTTTGTATAAAACTCGCAATAGAGAATTTATATATTGGAAATACGATGAAAAATTTATAACTAAATTGGAATACACAAAAAGATTGAATATTTTAATTCTAAATAAGTTAAACAAAGTTTTTTAACAATTGCTTAAAATTTATTTGGAATATATTAAGTAAAAATAATTGTATTTTATATAACTCGATTAAAATTTTTTTTATTGTATTTATTCTATATAAAAAGTAACTTAAATTATTATATACAAAATAATCATCACTAAATCAAAATCCCATCGAATGTTATATAACTATGACAGCACTTCATCTAATTCTTCATATATTTTTAGTGGGTTGATTGAGATATGACACCTAACTCCATATTTTGTTTTAGATGCCCAAAAAAAAATTTTCCTTTTTAAATGAGAGAAATAGACTACGACTCCGAACAATTTTTTCAAAAGAAATAAATTTCTATTATTTTTTATGTACTTTATATTTCTTTTCTTAAAGATTCTGAGTTTTTGGGTAAGGAAAGACTTCACTTCCATGTTAAAACAATGGAGTAAACATGGCTGTATTATAAATTATGAGTTTAAAATAGCTTAAGTGGTTAACGAAATTTATTAAAAATTGTAATGCTAGATTATCATCTCAAAAAGAAGTTTTTAAGTACATGCTATATCTATGACGAGTTTCGTCAAAGATATGGATGAGAGATTTTGATATTTTAAATGCTGAAGTCTAAGGTACACATATAAGCAAAAAGTGGACGAAATTCTTTTATTTTGAAGAATATTAAAAAAATAAAGGAGATAGAGAATAAAAACCACTCCCTGATAAGAACGAGGTATTACTTAATAAAGGAGGCAATAAGCCCATTCACAACTGGTTAACTTACTCTAATAATAACTAAAAATAAGTGTTCTTAGAGTTAGTCTGCTATATTTATTGCTAGGCGGATACATACTATTAATTACTGACTTAAACCGTGCAAAGGCCCATGACCGCCCTGTATATTGTGACTCCAGATGCTATATCCTGGTTGAGTATATAAAATATTAAATTATTTATGTCGTGCCTATACAATTGTGTAGTTTTTATTTATTAATTGTACATTTACATACGTTAAATAGTATTAAATGTCGACTATTTTGATACTCTAAGTGTTCATTACTATATTTCTAGTAGTATCTAGTAGTATTTTTGTTTTTATTAGTTTTTATATCATATAACAGCAATAATAATAATTTAGATTCCTTGAAATTTTATTACCATGTATTTTTTTCTACTCTAAATAATACGCTTGCTTTCTTCGTCACACTGGCATCGATTTCAAACTGAGTTTATTATGTTTTTCTATAATCCAATAATATACTACAAAATTGAAATCGTTAACATCTATTATATTGCTTGCAAGTAGATTACACGGATATATACACGCTTATTAGTGTATTATAACTATTGAAACTCTATCTCACATAGGGTTTTAGAAATAGTTATAGTACTACAGAAAACCTTTAAAACACGACTATATCATTTTAATTAGCATATTAGCATCAAATAAATAAACAAAGCTTGATTTAGAATTTGAGGACTTACAGGTAAACGGACTTATAGATAAGGTAAAATGAAAATAACTTATTTGAATGACGAAATGCATGTAGCGCATGAACTGTAAGATTTACTTTAATAAATCTTGATAAAAATAACATATTTTTTTATTTGAATTTTAAACTATTTTCGTATAACCTTTTGGGTGCATAAAAATAAGTTTTGAGAAGAATAAAGTTTTGAAGTTTTGAATAAAAAATAGTAACTTTTAACAGTATATATCTCTGAAATCTATCAATATAACTGAAAATTATTAAAAAGTTTAAGTTTTTCGTTTCAAACTAATGGTAATATATAATCGATGTATATTTTAATATCAAGAAATAATTTAAAACTTGAGGTATTTGCTGTAGTTAAGTGAAACTGTGCCTCAGTGTCCTACTTACAAGGTAGATATGGCACGCATTAAAAATTTTCAAATATTCAAATTTTTCAAAATTATTCCATGTCCTATTTCTTTTCACTAATATACTAAAAACTGATATAACTAATCTGATGCGGAAAACAAATTTTTCTTCATACAACTGAAGGACATCCTAATACATAGATAGATATACATAGTTGTATATATAGATATGGTATATATAGTTTAGAACAAAACTTCGATTTAAAAATTTTAAGTAATTTCTCAAGTCTTATATCAAGTGTGTAAATTTGTATAAATTTACCTTCAGTGGATTTCTGCTAATCTATTTATTTATATATTTTAATTTAAAAAGTTTTGTAAGACTTCAATTTCAAACAGAAGTATGTATATGAAATATTTAAAATATTGTATATGTAACTCCCATCGGAAAAGTTTCCAAACTTTTCAAAAACATCTATTACAAATTTCATTTAAATAAGGAAACTGCAAAATACTTTGTAAGTAAAACCAAAACCAATCATTAAAATTGGTGATTAAGAAGGAAATAAAAGCTATTAGCCTTTTGTTATTGAAGTACTGGAAGCCTCTGAGCGCATTTATGTTAAGTAGCGTTGCCTTCAACAGGAACAAGCAACGTTAAATTAACAGCCGCACATACACAGACCATGGCAGAGGCAGCACCATAATTTCTGACATAATTTCTTAGTAGCTGAAAATGAATTTTTTCTTCCGACCATACTGCATTGTTATTCACTAAAAGCATAAAACTTTCCAAATTAAAAGCTTACATGCCTGACACCTGTCACTTCGTGTGACATTTTTGGAGACGTTAAAAATCTTCAGTCGCCCACATACATTAAGCGGTTGGCAATAACATTTGCCATCGCATTAACATTAATGTCTGAGACGGCGTACTGTTAACGTTAACTCAATTGCACAAAAAACTGTTGAGACATGTTGATGAATTTTTATTAAATACGAGTAGGAAAGTAGTTGTTTATAACCATAAAAGTGAGCAAATATCGTAAACTTGCGTGGGCATTTCTTGGTTATTAAATCAAAGCTACAAATTCATATGTTCTAAATATGTTAAAAACTACTAAAACTTTATGGTTTATTTAAATAAATTTTAAAGAGCTATTTACATTTAACTACTCTTACTCACAACACAAATACAAACGTGTTTCATTCCACAATACATTGTTACATACATCATTCAGAAAGATTATCATTCAGAATAGATTTTAATGAAATAATAAAAAATTATTTACATAGCAAACAAAAAAAAACCAATAAATTAAATGAAATTATAATAATTTCTATTAGTAGTTATGTATATTTAAAATCTACATTACAAATAAATTACATAGCATTCCGTATAATATTACAATTTTACTAATAGGAAAAAATGTACAGTATTTATTTTAATTAAATTAATTTAAATGCTGAAAATGTAAATAACAT